ACTGGATGCTGAAGCTGCCTTACACGTCCAACGCCGTCAACAGCAGCAGCACTTTTCCAGGTGGCCAGAAGAAGTTGCACATGTTGCGAGAGCTCTCCACTTGGCTGAGTGTCGTCTGGTCAATAGTCGGTCCTGTCATACTCTTGTGCATCGCCAGTATTCGTCATGATCAGGTGGTTGAGTTTACTGAGCAGAAGTCGGCCGCACTGTTTGCTGTTGGTGGTGGTGAGGGAAACACCGCTTCTGGAGAACTTGCACAGTCAAAAAGTAGATCAGAGAGTGCAAAGTGGCTCGCCATTATATCTAAGCACAACTATCGATCATTCTGGTGGATGTACAGCGCCTTGTTCTTCTCCCTTCTCGCCGGTGGTTTCATCCGAAGTCGTACCCACCATCTTTTTTACTGCACATACCTTCTTTTAATTTGCATTTTCTTTGGCAGTGAGGTATTTTTGCAGTCGTTGATGACGATTTGGCACAAAGTAACAACTGATTTTCCTAATAGGTCTACGTTTCAGATGGCATCAATGCTATCACAAAGCAGCAACAAAAATTCCACGTTTTTCCTCTCTCTATGTGTTTCCTCCTCTATTGCTTTATTGCCTACTTTGTAAGTCTGATGCTCATCGTCGACGAAAACCTCCTGGCGTACTTCAAACTTCTGAGCACCATTTCTTCGGCTGGTTTGGCATTTTATATTTTCCGAAAAATTATCGACATGTGATGTAAGAAAAGGTAATTTAAAATGCTGCCACCTTTAATGGCATAAAACAATAATCTAAAAATGATAATATTTACAATCAATAAAAACATTGCAAATAAAACAGCAATGCCAAATATCTAAGAGGAGTCATTGTCCTCATAATCATGATATGAGGACTGCGGAGCAGTCATAAACGAGTCAGTAGACTGCTCCGCGCGCGAAGGTGTCGGAGAGCGCGGAGACAACGGCTGAAGGTCTTCCATGCCAAGGATCACTTCACCCTCTTCACCCTTCTTGCTGAAAAGCTTTTTGGCCCGGTATAAAACCTGTTGTGGCAAGTTCCTCTGAACGTAGTCCTTTCTAGCCTGCTGAATGCTCGGACTGGGACCGTCAGTGCTCTCCCTGCGTACGTACGGAGCCGGTGTCAGCAGACGGGTGAGACACTGAAAGAGTGCGCTGGAGCAGCTGCAGCTGACAGTCATGTCGTAGAAGATGTCAAAGAAGTCAACCAGGCAGAAGCGCAGATAGCGACAGAGGCCGTAGAAGACGCCGCCGTAGAAGAGAAAGAAGGCGAGTTTGTAGAAGAGGCGGAAACAGCCGATGCTGCTCAGCGTGAAGGGCTCCTCCGCCCACGGGGGCTCCATGTTGCCGTTGTAGCTGTGGGTAGGGGTAAAAAGGTAGTTGAGTTGAGCTATTCATTTGAGATAGTGTTCAAGGGTGGAACTGACATGCAGTAGTCACGATCAGTGTGAGCGTTGACAAAGCCGCTGCTGCTGATGTTCTTTGTCTCGTAGAAGGAGAGCGTCGTGTTCATGTAGTAGCGCAGTGACTCCTTTTGCAACAGGTGAATGGTCTGCGGGACGACGCCGGAGAGGAAGGCAAAGGTGAAGCCAGTGGTGAGGAAGGAAATGAACACCATGCTGTCGATGTACTTGTTCCACACGCCCATACTTTTGGCTCTGCAGGGGGTGGTTTTAGAGAAGGAGGTTCTACAACTACTGTGTGCTCACCTTTCTGGAACCGGGCGGCGATGGTTGGTTAGCACGTGAGTGGCATGAATTCGAATGTACACCAGACAGACAATGTAGAGGACAAAGGGCGCCATGAACCAGTTGGCGCCGAAGAGGGCCACGTAGCCGAGCATCTTCAGAATGATCAGGTTCTGGGTGAACATATACGGCTGTGTGTTGTAGGCGACCAACTTGGCGTCAGTGTACCAGTTGCCCTGTTTATCACCCAGGTTGAAGGATTTTTTCGGCGGAAGCACCTCCCTTACAACCTCTCCGTAGTAGAGAGACCAAAAGAATTTACCCGTTCGGTAGTAAAAGCGGTTTTTGAAAGCGTTCCACCAGTAGGTAGTACCCACCCACCCCTCCACAATGGTGGTTTCACAGAACTTGCAACCCCACAGTTTGTTAGCCATCATAGGATAACCGTGCTCCCAGAAGAGAAAGTACAGCTGATCAACCGTCAGAACTTTGCCCATTTGATTTGCCAATGCGAGGTGACAGTCATCTAGAAATGGGAGAGGTTAGAATAAAGGGAAAAGCAAGCAAAACTGCCAAAAACTTTTCTCAGTTTTTTACCTTCGTCGCAAGGTTTTAGATCGTAGGGCGGATTCAAGAGTGTTCCCGGATTGGTAAAGTGGAACTCTGCGTAGCTGGCGGTGTAGAAGAAGAGAGCGTACTCGGTGTAGAAGAGAGCCAGCATCTTCTGAGCTTGCCACTTGTTGAACTGACTTTCGTATTTGGGCACCTGATAGAGGGTCAAGTAGTAGACGACCTTTCCGTTGACCTGAAAATGGGCAGTTATGAATAAATCGTAAAACAAACAGTTTAAGCATAAACTTACGTAACGAAAGAAGTGGTTAAAAAAGGCGTTGACTATTGACTGAAGGAACCATTGAGATGGTTTGATTTTGCCCAGAAACAAACCGTAGAGGGCGATAATAGCGACGAAGTAGATGATGAAGAGGATGGTCATCAACCAGGCGACCAAAAAGTGACACAGCGACATCGCTCCGTGACGCTGGTAGATCGCCTCGTCCTGCTCCTTGGCCACCTGCTGAGAGAAGGTCTCATCGAGTTCGTGGTAGTCGGTGACTGGCTCGCCATTGTCACCACCATTGCGACGGGTTTCAGGAATCATCACGAAGCCAAACTCGTCATCTCCAGTCATCCGTTGGCTGACCTCTTGAAACTGCATCGGAGTGAGGGGAACCGTTTCAAAGGCCGCCTCTCCAGAAGATCTGGGCCCTTCGGTATTATTCAGTTCCACCGGTGAAATGTGCTGCAGAACGACATTGGTCATCTCTTCAAAGTTGATCGACGGTTTTTCTGCCAGATCGTAAATCGCTTTCAACTTAGGATACTTCATCTGAGCAAAGAGAGAGAGAGAAAAAAAATGGGTGGGAGTGTGAGACATTAGTTTGGGTTAAACAAGGGGAAAAGATCAAACCAGGTAGTCTATTCTAATTGGCTCTATGGCCGCCGAATCATTGAAGGCACATCGAGGCTGGCTCTGTCGTGGTAGAAAGGCATCAAAGTTATTAAAGGCAAGTCATCACCCTCAAGCTGAGCACCGTACCGTCATGGAGAGATGGTGGACGGCCACGTCCAGGCGAGTGTACGGCTCCTCCCAGCTGGCGGTGAGTTTGCTGAGGTAGCTCTTGAAGGAGGTGAGCAGACCGCTGACCAGAAAAGAGGTGAAGAGGCAGAAGTAGATGTTGCTGGAGCGACGCAGCTTGCGACGTGCCGGGCAGCTGCTGGAGAGGGCGGTGTAGTTGCAGGTGGCGCATAGTGGACAGCGAGGGTAGTAGTCGTAGACGCCGGCGCAGACCTCTTCGATGACGTAATCGTACTCCCCGAGGGTGATCACCAGCGAGCCGAGGTAGCTGATCAGGCCAAAGAGCGAGGCCAGCAGGAGGAAGACGTTGAAGTAGGCCGACCAGGCAAAGTAAATGGCCACCTGGGGGCCGCAGTACTCCCTGATCTTCTCAATCGGCTGCGGAGTGAAGAGGTTCTTGATCATCGACCAGCTGTGCAGCAGCTCCTCCTGCACCTCTGGCTCGTGGGGCACGTAGCTGCCCGCAATGATGTAGTCGTTGACCAGTCGGCGGTAGTCGAAGCGCTCGGGGTGGTCGTCAGTGTGGTACTTCGGGAAGCACACCGTCTTGTTGATGATCTTCATAATGGCATAGACACGTTGCAGGGTAGTGTACTGAGACACGTCGGCAAACTTGAAGTCGCTCGTCGCGTACAGGGTCTCGTAGGGAATGTACAGTTTGGCGAAAAAGTAGTTACCCTCTTCGTCGCGGAAGAAGTTGATCTTCAGGCGGTGTGTGCCGACGAGGGCGCCCTGAGGTTAAGAGGTAGTGTCAATAAAAGAGAGAAGGAGAATTTTGTTTGTGACTTACGTGAAATGACTTGATGCGAGAGAGCTCTGCACCATTGAGATTTTTGTAGTAAAGTATGACCATGTCAACGGAAGGTATGGGCACACTGAGCGGTGCATTGAGCAGCTCCACAGTCAAACGCTCGTCGTTGCGGTGGTTGTCTTGACGCACCTCACGACCATCTGAAAAAAATGTTAGTAGTGAAAGTCCCTCAGCTCATGCACTGTTCAACTCACTGATTAAGCCATCCTCATTGTAGGGATAGAGCAGCATGCACTTGTCGTAGTAGGAGCGTTGCTTTGGAGTGTTCAACTCATTGACGAATGCCTCAAAGGAGAACGGTCTTTGAGCGGGTGTGCTAAAACCTTCACGTCCTTGAGGGGGTGTTGGTGCAGAGGCGGCCTGACCTCGATGAGGAAATTGTGTGGGTGGTGTGAAAAACTGTGACGTTGAGGTGCTTTGGGTGGAGGTAGATGCCTGCCCCACCTGCCCTTGCAGAGGATGCCCAGTTGCTCGCTCCATTCGTGGTAGGATTTCGAGGGATAAAGTTTTTGCTAACTTCTAGTGATGACTAGCCACTGATGGTTTTTGAAATAACGGAAAACTTGCTAAAGCTGTCGTAGATATAACTCCTCTCGACTTTATTTTGAGCTATGACTAGACATTTTTACTTTTCGAACTTTTAAGAAGGCCAGTTGTCGTTCACTGTTGCCTGTGACCATATAAACGTCATCTTTTCTCTCAATCTGCTCTCATTCAACTGACGAGCCACTGTTGTTTGCCTACGTGCCCACTGTCTACTGCTTCCAGTGCACTCATCACTGTCTCTCTGTTCCCGCAGCATCTTGAGAAAAGGCACCTCCTTGACTCGGGCAACAACCACTAGCTAGAAAGCAAGCAGGCATGGCAACCTTCGAGGACATGGTCGCCGTGGTGATCGACAACGGCACGGGCATGTGCAAGGCTGGCTACGCCGGCGAGGACGCCCCCCAGTGCGTCTTCCCCTCGGTGGTGGGCCGCCCCCGCCACAGGGGCATCATGGTGGGCATGGGCCAGAAGGACAGCTACGTGGGCGACGAGGCGCAGAGCAAGCGCGGCATCCTCACCCTCAAGTACCCGATCGACCACGGCGTGGTCACCAACTGGGACGACATGGAGAAGATCTGGCACCACACCTTCTACAGTGAACTGCGCGAGGCCCCCGAGGAGCACCCCATCATGCTCACCGAGGCGCCCCTCAACCCGAAGGCCAACCGCGAGAAGATGACGCAGATCATGTTCGAGTCCTTCGGCGCCCCGGCGATGTACGTGGCCATTCAGGCGGTGCTGTCGCTGTACGCTTCGGGCCGAACCACGGGCATCGTCCTCGACTCTGGCGACGGCGTCTCGCACACGGTGCCCATCTACGAGGGATACGCCTTGCCGCACGCCATCCTCCGCCTGGACCTGGCCGGCCGCGACCTGACCGAGTACCTGATGAAGATACTGACCGAGCGCGGCTACTCCATGACCACCACCGCCGAGCGGGAGATTGTGCGCGACATCAAGGAGAAGCTGTGCTACGTCGCCGAGGACTTTGAGCGCGAGCTGGCCTTTGCGGAGAGCTGCGGCAACGTCGAGAAGACCTACAACATGCCCGACGGCCAGGTGATCACCATCGGCGACGAGCGCTTCCGCTGTCCGGAGGCGCTTTTCCAGCCCTCGCTGCTGGGCATGGAGGCGGTGGGCGTCCACGAGACGACCTTCAACTCGATCATGAAGTGCGACGTCGACCTGCGCAAGTCGCTCTACGCGAACGTCGTCCTCTCCGGCGGCAGCACCATGTACGGCGGCATGCAGGAGCGCATGTACCGGGAGATCACCGCCCTCGCCCCGGCCTCCATGAAGACCAAGGTGATCGCCCCGCCGGAGCGCAAGTACTCGGTGTGGATCGGCGGCTCCATCCTCTCCTCGCTGTCCACCTTCCAGGAGCAGTGGGTCACCAAGAGCGAGTACAACGAGGTGGGCGCCGGCATCGTCCACCGCAAGTGCTTCTAAGGGCCTGCTTCAGTGCCCCACTTCTCTTCATCTCAGGGCCATCACCTCTTTCTTTTTTACTTTCGGAGCCCTTTTTTCACAAATTATCCCACCCCATCTGTGGGCCACTTTTATTTTATTTTATTACTTTTTAAAAATATTTTTCAATTTTCTTGACTATTTTAATGCTTAATTATTAATGGCATTGAGTGTTATAAAAACACAACTCCACTACCATTGAAGTTAAAAAAGAATCAGCCAAGTCAGTCTCGAAAAGCATCATCTTTAAAAGTTCATAACTCAAAAATTATGAAAGCAATCGATGTCGGGTTTTCGCCCAGATGATTGGGAGGGCGTCAAAGCGCCAAAAAATCATTAAAAAAGACGCCAGGGCGTTAGTCGGTCGGAGAGTCGAACTCCGGTTACTGGATTCAGAGTCCAGTGTGATAACCACTACACTAACCAACTCCAAGTTGAATAAATGGGGCCCGAGAAGATCCTTAAGCATGCAGGAAAGCATCCCACAATGCTGCTATGTTTTGAATAGAAGATACCGAAAATAATTTTGGTTTTTTCAACTTAAACCTAGTTAAAAATAATAATGTACTTTATAGCTCAAACTACCAAAGTAATTGTTTGTGTAGATGAAAAAACATATAAACACAATGAGTTGCTCACTCTATTGTCATTTTGTGTAAATCATCTCACTGCTGATGGGGCTCTATCTGGTGAAGCTGCTGATAACTAGAATTGCTCTATTTGTTGTTTTGAACTTGTTGGTTCTCCAACGTCCACAAAGTAATAACTAAATTGCCCGAGAAATCGGGACTAAACCCTCAACTACTGTCATCTCTGTTACAATTATACCAATAGGTGTGTTCTTGCAAAATCTTGCAAAATATTTGAAAGTTAAACAGTTGACCGAGCGAATCTCTTCACATAGAAGATAGAAATACCCTTATCAGCAGCAATGCCCGATAAGAAACATTTTTATCAATAAGGAACAAGACGCCTCAGAGTGCGTATTTACAACAGAAACTGAAAACATTAAATATGAGTATTAAACTTTTTTTAATTTTCAGCATCTTTTTCACTGTCCACTCTTTGGACAATGGCCTTCTACCACTTCCACCTATGGGATGGATGTCGTGGCTTCGCTTTGCCTGTGAAATCAACTGTACAACTTACCCAAATGAGTGCATCAATGACAAGTTGTACTTGGAGATGATCGATCGCATCGCCAACG